ACATTAATCTCACTTCAAACCATTAACCCTTGCCGACACTTTCATAGTCTTTCCATGTGGACTTACTTGCATTTAAAAATTGTGTAATAGCTATGGCATAAATTACAAGGTTTCAACGTACAGATGGTACATCCCCCCCGCTACACATACTATCTGCATTTTCATGCTTCAAAACTGTATTTTGTAATGAAATAACATTAAACAAATATTCAGTAGAATTGCTTGCCCATTAAAAATAATTAAATCTGCATAAATGAACATATTCCTGATATAACCAAATAAAAACTGAGTACACCACGTGTATACGGTTATTATTATATCAAAGCTATTTTCTGTGAATTTCATGTACTAATCATAAATTTACCCAGAATATTTAAAGTTGATCAAGTTAAAACATTCTTGTACTATGATTTTGAGAAACACTGGACAAAACTGTGTTAGATCCACCAGGTAAAACTGCTTTCTTTAAAACTACAGGTAAAACTGTGTTATCTATCAATCTTGCCATAGTGTGAGCTTTTTTATTATTGTTGTCTCTTACATAAAAAATTCACCACCTGCAGAATATCTCAACATTAAAATTGAAACATTCTCTCAGCATTAGTGATTAACAGGTACATTGTATTTTCTATTCACCACAGTTAACCTCATATTCATCAGGTTTTAACATTGTCCTTTGTCTCCATGCTCTCATTGTTTTAATCTTATTTCCTTATTTATTACCATACTCTTTATGCGAATAAATCATGTGTGTTAATGTGTCCTAAAACACCAATGAACGACTCCACGAATTGTTTCTACAGCGCATTGTTTATACATGAATATTGGTTTGTATATGTCTATTGCCATATACCCATGTCACCATTATGCTTTGTTAAATAATTTAGTAGTTTATACAGCTCAAGTACAGCTACTGCATGAACGATATCAGTACCACTAAGTGACGATGGTAGTGTCATCTAGAAGCTGTCAAACTCAACTAATTTAAATTTCAGATTTATGAAGTAAATAATCACTTGTAAAAATCAGATGAATTAAGAATTTCGACTTAAAGATTTATTTACAAAGATTGAAATTCGCGCTGTTACTACTGTACTTAAATACACATTAAAAAAGATGGACTCCCTTGTTAATCATAAATCCAGCATATTTTCCAAACAAGATCGATAAAAAAACCTAGCGAGTAATGGGTGTCATGCTCTGGAAAGCTCCAAGCTCTCACCATTCAACTAGATTGCTAGAGTGGTTTTCTTGCATCAGAAAATTTACCCACTCTTTGCTAGGAAAACAAGGATCTCAGTTCCCTTTCCACCATTGATATTTCAATCACATTATTCTTTTAACTGCCAATAATCAAACGATAATACTACAATGTAATTCATTTATTACATATAATATCATTCTACAGCTGTGAAAGCAAGGAATGTCACTTCCTCTTAATCCGTGATTATGAAATTGTCCTAAAATTCAATAATCAGATAGCAGCCACAAAATGTAGTAGTTACATTATACTTCCAACACTACTCGATGGCTTTTGGTCATTAATCTTCCAAATATTTGTCTCTAACTTTTAATAGGCAGGTGAAAATCACACAATGTAGTGCATACATTACAGTGTGCATCACGTGATAGCTTTGAAGGCAAGGAATGTCACTTCCTTCCAATAATCAGTTGCTTGTCCTACTGATCATCCTAGCTTTGATGATCAGTTCCACTCATATCACTGGGGAGGATGACTTTGGTGTTTTGTCCACGATTTAGAGCTGGTAGTTATTTTCATTTCCTGTGAATCCTCATCTGGTTCATCGAAGACCATCAGATAAGTTTCTGCAGCTTCCTCTCCTCCACCAGGCAGATTGGGATGACAAAGGATGGTGTCAAGTTAGTGCACCAAAGGTTCGTCTGCGAAGTATGGATACATCTTATTATGTTCCACATACTTTTGATTATCTTTTGCCCAATGTAACTCATACATTAGAGGGCCATCCTGTTGAAGTATCAAATATGGACACTCCAGCTGCATGCAAATTGCTTTCGTGCATGTCTCCACCACACTTAACACAAATCAGTAAACAATTTGGTATTGAAGTTAGCCACATTTATCTGGTACTCTAAATCATGATATCCAGTTCTTGGTCAACACATCCACAATGGTCTGTGTTAGCATATTAATCAATGGAGAAGCTTCAACCCATTTTGTGAAGTAGTCAGTGGCGATGAGATATGTATACATTGATGACCTCTTGCAGTCTATGAGAATGGATCAGCTATATCCACGAGTATTATCTGCAGAGAAGACCCAACAATTTTCTGTTTGAGTTTATTCTTGGCCAGTTTTTCCCCTGGGCAGCACACACCATACAGCACTTATGCCAGTGATGGACATCTTGATAACTTTTGACCAAAAGAACCTTCATCAAATGTTAACATTAGTGTAGGTTACACCTTAGTTTCCTTTGGTATTTGCGTTGTGCAAATTTCTGAACATTTCTAGCCACAGAGCTCTGGTAGATAGTAGTGGGACAGAACATCTTCTCAACTGTAAATGTTCAAAGAGGGGCCACATGTTCGTGTCTTCATTATATGCTCCTTTACTAATGCTGGTTGGGCTTGACCTTGTTGGACAGCAAAGAGTGTCTAAGCTATGTAAGGGTCATTCAGTTGCTCATCCTGAAGTGATCATGAAGCATTACTTTCAGCATCCATATGCCAGAGGGCCTTCTACCTTGTATTCACTATGGCTAAAACGTTTGTAACTTCAACTCCTACATAGTTTCCAGGGTTAGGAAGTTCCACGAACAGGAAAATCCTCACTGCGTGGTGAGATAGTTTGTCCACGTTTCTGTACTGCAGGACCGAACGATAAACTATGATAAAGTCGTATTATTGCAGTGTTGTTATCCAATGTCTATATTCCCCTTGGAATTGTAAAAGTTTACTAGACACTTCAGCAAAGCGTGTTACAAGTAATGACAACCATTACAAGCAGCCCTTTCTTCGTCGCATTTGAGAGCCCTGGGTGTATGATTAACGTACACGATTATATATTCTACTACATCCTACAACTGCAATAACACAGCTTCGATTACACTGTCACTGGTGTCGATGTCCAGGAGAAACTAACAGTTTTGTGGTGTATACCTCAGCAATGGAGAATTCATCAAAGCAAGCCTAATGGATTTGTATGCCTGACTACATTCCTCACTCCAACCAAAGTGCATTGGAGACGACAGTGATGCTACTATCTTTGATAAATTGGCCACAAATTATCGATCGTGAGACACAAAACTTACGGACTTCTTGACTTGTCATGTGTAAAAGTCAATATCTTACCACAGCTATCTTATTCATTGCTTTGTCATGTGTCAAAGTCAATCTCATACCACATCTATCTTATCCAGGTCCGTCGAGACTCCATCCCTCTCTCCATAATGTGACTCAGAAACTTCATTTCTGCTCGCATGATTTTCTTGGTTTCACTTTCAAGTGCGTCTTTTATATGCATAGAATACAATCATCAGATTGTTAGACGCGGACACAAAAGTATGGTCAAACACCAGAATATCGTCGACATAAATCAAGCATCTCTTCCATTGCAGTCACTTGAGTGTAAGCTCCATCAGAGTTAATTCGTTTGTTTGTTTGTAATTAAACACAAAGTTACACAATGAGCTATCTTTGCTCTGTCCACCACGGGTATCGAAACCCGGATTCTAGCGTTGCAAGTCCGCAGATATACCGCTGTGCCACTAGGGGGCGAGTTAATTCGTAAAAATTATATCTGTCTAAATCCCTCAGAACAAAGAATTGTGTCCCCTGATTATAAATTTACAACGTTACAATCTGAGGTTCGATTCCCCACGGTGGGCAGAGCGCAGGTATCCTATTGTGTGATTTTGCGTTAAAACGAATAATCACTGAACTAGAGAAAAGTAAAGTTTGTTATCCGATGTCAGAGTAAATATGATTCAAATTACAATCCGCGTAACAAGATTAAAAAAAATAATCACATAAACCATTATCATTTTTGTGCTTCAGTAAATTAAAAATATAACCTTTGAAAAAAAAAATCAAATCCTACAGCCCTCAGTGGCTCTTCTGTAGCCTGTAAGTCTCTGGACTTAAGACGCTAAAAATAGAGCTTAGACACGGGTGGTGGGTACAATACAAATATCCCGTTTTGTAGCTTTGCGCTTAACAACAAACAAACAAATAAAATCCTACAGAAAAGCAGATCAAGTTAAGAACCTCAAAGTTCAAAGACTTACAAAAAGTATGAAGTAAAGTAGTACTTGGTATTTTAACTTGAATGACACATGGGCTAAACGACCAGGTCAGAGAACCTTAGGGTTCACATATGTGTATAAATAGCCGGCACTAATTTTTAGTGAACTTCACCATTGCTGTTAAAGTTGAAACAGACTTCTCTAAATAACTAAGCCACTCACCAAAATTACGGGACATAGGCTAAACAGCGAGAGCAGAGACAGGTATATAGTTATCCTCCATTTCCGAACTACAGAGCAGATGGAAGGTAGCCAGTCAACAACGGCTGCAAAGGCACCACAGCTAAAGCTGTGGACTTTGTTCAGCTATTTTCACACACCTCTGGTTTCTAGCCAGATTGACTGCACACCAAATGGTTCCCACCTTGTGTAGCTTGTAACACGTTCCACGTGAATCTTTGAGAAAGTATTTCAAGCTCAAAAGCGCTAAACAAGACCCCGAAATATCAAAACACAAACAAACGTAAGTGATATAAAGATACAGTGTTCGTTATAATTAGACAGACTATTGGATTTTTCACGTGAACAAATGTATTTTTAAACCGATAATTAACATTGAACGTTAGTTTATTCTGTTTAACAATTAATTATCGTGTATTAAAATACAACAGATATATCTAAGACTGAGTTCAGCGTTAGAAACACTTTTTTTTACATGTGCAATCAATATATTTTATGTTTATTGACACTACATAAGACAACAGGTGTATAAAGTACAAGTGTGCAGAAAATTATTATTATTTGTAGAAGATAAAATTGTGCTAAGCACTGAGCGTTAAAATTAACACTTAATAATATAACTGTTCAGTGTTAGAAGTGATTACATTTTGACGTTCCAACCAGAAGACCAGGAACGCTAATGAAACCCTGTATTATGTAAAGTGCAATTGTGCAAAAGTTTGAAGATCTCTCTCACTCTCTAAAATAAAAATGGGTAAAAAATTAAGTGTTTTTGAAGTATAAATGTAAAACGTGTGAAAATTCATGACACTTTTCAATGCACATCTAGTTATAGTGAAGTGCAAGTATAACTTTGTTGCAACTTTTCTGGGCTTTCTTCTGTTTTGAAACCGGTAATTGTTGTTTCCATTGTAATGGGATTTCACTGGAATTTCTATACGTCGTAAATGGTTGTTTTTCAGCATTTTTTACAGATGTGTGGTTTGTCAAGTACTGCTTAGCATATTCCGAAAATTGAAGTTTCAAATTGTTAAATAACGCTCTTGTCTCTTTGAGTGGATTATACGAAAGGTCTTCAAAACGAACAATACTTAGTTTCCCAGGAAATATGTTTTGCAAGCGATAAAAATGTTGGACGTCTTCTTCTATTTCTTGACACAAGACAGAAACACTGGAACAGTTTGTTGCTTTACACCAAGCAAGCTTTCGACGCGAATTGAAGATTCCACGAGGATCGCGCACAAGATACACCACACGGATATCCAAATCCGAGGTTTGTTCCAATAAAGCTTGGACATAACGCATTGGCAGCCGAACAGTCTTCATCACGTGTATCTTAGCCTCTTGACATACAACTGACATAAAAGTAGGTTCATAACATAGTTTTTCTGATGTTTTACATTTTTCCCACAAAAAATAGTTCTTTGTGAACATAAACTCATTTCCCTTTTTTTGCACGTGGCTTAAATATTTCGCGTTCGTAAAGTTGCATCTAAGGAAATTTTCTAGCTGGTTAACTGCATCAACTGAGTGATTTTGGGTTACTCTGGTGCTTAATGTCAAATGATGAAGAGGTTCGTAATGATAAAATATATCTCGAGAGTGGTGCTGGAGGACTTCACCAAGGAAAGTACTTCCAGACCGAAAGTAAGTAGTCAGTAAGATGTAAATAATATGGTCTTTCTCCTGCACGTTTTCCCCCAGGTTTTTATTTGATGTCATTCGATTGATTCGTTCTTTATTTTCAACTGGAAAAGAAAAAAAAAAATATGCAAATAATTAAAAATTAATATAAAGAGAAAACATGACTAAGTTATTATGAACACGTTTTTATATTATGATTTGATTCTTAAAATGTTGTTACTTATACTTTTACTGACAAGAACAGATGTAAATTTCAGGATTCATAACAACAGATTTCGGGTTTTTTATCTCCACGATCAATATGACGTAGATATCACCTGGTGTAGTTTTGCACTAAAACAACGATGATAATCTACTCGCACTGTGTAAATGTGTGGATTAACATATTAAAACTCCTTTTCAACAATACTTTTATGTAAGCCAACGTACCCGTGTGTGTTTGTGGTAGTGGGGTGGGGGGTGAGAGACAAAAGGCCTACAGGGAGTGACATGGGGAACCGAATATCTGAGGTGCCCGGAAGGTGCCTTCAAATATTTGTAGAGATTAATAGCATAGTACAAGAAAACATAAGGGGATAGATTTGAACGCTGATTACGCATGTCAGAGTTTCCAGGGTGCCCTAAGGATACATACCAGATTTGGTGACAATCGGTCCAGCGGTTCGGCAGTTATAAACGGACACAAACATACACAAATTTCTGTAAAAAAATGGTTTAGATTGATTATAATAAAACATGCATCTTTCAATTGTAATCAGTATTATTATATTTATGTATAACTTTCTAGAGTATTTTGGTGAGTTGACAAAGTGTCTGTTTTGTTAGAACAAAGCCACACTGGGCTATCTGGTGTGTCCACCACTGGAATCGAACCCCGAGTTCTTGCGTTTTAAGCCCACACACTTACCGATGTCCCACCAAGGGACATTGATGAAGTGATAAGCTCAGTAATTAAAATTACTTGTTTAAACAATTACGTAACTGTTCAGACCTTTTAAATACATGGTTCATGAGACCGACATAAACAAATTTAAAACTATCTTTCATAAGAATCTATATTTAGTAATGCATATCGAAAATCATCAATAATTTGCTCATTTAACAAGCATAAAATAAATGGGATTTTTCTATTAAACATAAGCAATTGAAAAACATTATAATAAATAAAAGAATTAAAGATCATCTTATAAAAAACAAAAAAAAATATGTAAGCAGTAAAATGTTCTAATGAAAAACAAAGATTGCATTATTATATCTCTGTTTTCAGGTTCTTCCATGACGGTGGCTTTAAATCCAAGATACTACCATCAATAATACAAGCCCCCCCCCCCACACACACACACAATGGCACAGCGGTATGTCTGCGGACTTACAACGCTAGAAACCGGGTTTCGATAGCCATGGTGGGCAGAGCACAGATAGCCCATTGTGTAGCTTTGTACTTAATTAGAAACAAACAAAAACAATACTTCAAAAAATATTTAACTAGGTCAAGAATTTGGCAAATGTTTGTTTTTTTAATTTCTCACAAAGCTACACGAGGGCTATCTGCGCTAGCCGTCCCTAATTTAGCAGTGTAAGACTAG